CTTATTTGGATTCATTCGTGATAGTGTTCATTGATGATATATTGATATACTCCCGCAGCCAGGAGGAGCACGAGCAGCACCTTAGAGTGGTTCTTCAGACTCTAAGGGATAGTCGGTTATATGCTATGTTCTCGAAGTGTGAATTTTGGTTGGGTTCAGTTGCATTTCTGGGCCATGTTGTATCAGCAGAGGGTATTCAGGTGGACCCAAAGAAGATAGAGGCAGTCAAGAACTGGCCTAGACCAGCATCAGCTATAGAGATCCGGAGTTTCTGGGGGTTGGCAGGCTACTATCGACGGTTCGTAGAGGGGTTTTCATCCATTGCAGCCCCGATGACCAGATTGACCTAGAAGGGTGCCTAGTTCAGATGNAGGCATCGACTTGGGAGTCCGAGTCTAATATTCGGAGAAGCTACCCCATCTTTTCCCCGACTCAAGTACTTCATTCTTCTGTCCGTTCGAGGACGAACAGTTGTTTTAGAGGTGGAGAATGTGACGACCCAAAGGGTCATCACCTGTTTTCTTACCCATTCTGTACTTCCGAGGCCTTGAAACCTCATTAGGGTTGCCTCGATTTGTGTGCGCAGTCCGGGCTTAGCCGGAAAGCTTAAATATGAATTCTGTGAGAAAAATGCTAAATTTTGATATTAAATTGATTAAATTTGACTTCGGTCAACATTTTGGGCAAACGGACCCGGATCCGTGATTTGACGGTCCCGGAGGGTCCGTAGAAAAATATGGGACTTGGGCGTATGCCCGGAATCAAATTCCGAGGTCCCAAGCCCGAGAAATGAATTTTTGTGTGAAATTGTTTTCTGGAATGATTAAGGAAAATGAAAATAAAATTTGATTAAAAGACTGTGGTATTGGGCCCGTATTTTGGTTCCGGCGTCCGGTACAAGTCTTATATATGGTTTAAGCACTTTCTGTAAAGTTTGGTTGAAATCGGACGTCGTATGACGTGTTTCGGACTTAAAATGGAAATTTGATGTTTTAAAAAAACTTGGAGGAAATTATGAATTTTGAGGTTTAATTCGATGTATATGATGTTATTTTGGCGATTTGATCGCGCGGATAAGTCCGTAGGATGTTTTTGAGGTTGTGTGTATATTTGGTTTGGAGCCCCGAGGACTCGGGTGAGTTTCGGGTAGGCGTCGGAGTGCATTTTTAACTTAGGAAAAATCTAGTATGAACAGGCCTGCAGGCTTCGCATTTGCGAAGCCTGGTCCGCAAATGCGAACTCGCAAATGCGGAAGGCGTCGGTTCGACAAAATGCGAAACGAACCCCAGACCTGACTATGATCGCAAATGCGAGTATATTCTTCGCAAATGCGAAGTTCCAAGTTTCGCAAATGCGAGACCAAGTTCGCAAATGCGAAGGTCTCCTGTAAGGCCTGGCTTCGCAAATGCGAAGCAGAGGTCGCAATTCCCATAATTTGGTCGGGGTTCGCAATTGGGAACCCCAGTTCGCAAATGCGACATCAGAGACCCAGCAATTTCATACTTAGTCGAATTTTAAGTCATTTTTCACCCCACTTTCAAAATACAACTCCTTAGGCGATTTTTCAAGAACAAGTTTCATCCCAAATCATTTGTAAGTCGATTTTTACTTAACTCTTTCAATCATTAACATCATTTAACATGTTTTCAACTTAAAATCAATGATTTTCATGGGAGAAATTGGGGGTTTTGGGTAGAACCTAGGTTTTCTATAAATTGGGGATTTGGACCTCAATTTGAGGTCCGATTTCAAAACAAATTACATATTTGAGTTCGTGGGGGAATGGGTAACCGGGTTTTGGTTCGAACTTCGGGTTTTGACCACGTGGGCCCGGGGGCAATTTTGGAAATTTTGGGGAAAAACTTGGGAAATTCATTTTTATGCATTCAAATTGATTCATTTAGTGTTTATTAAAGTAATTGAGCAATTTGTGACTAGATTCGAGCGGATTGGAGGTGGAATCGCGGGGTAAAGCGATAGTTGAGGTTTGAGTGGAATTCAAGGCATCGAGGTAAGTGTTTGGTTTAACCCTAGCTTGAGGGATTAGGAGTTGAGTCATAATTGCTACTTGTTTGTGTTGGGTACGACGTATGGGCATGGTGACGAGTATCCATGCGTCGGTGTCAAGCATGACCGTGAGTCTTAATTTGATAATTGTGTACCCTTGTTTGATCCTATGAACGTTGTGATTAAATATTGGTATTAGTTGTGCCAGGAAAAAGTTGAATAGGATTGGTTATAGCTGACTCTCCCTTGTCGGGATGTTTGATTTGTTGTTATAGTTCCCTTGCCGGGAAAGAGTATTAATTTGATTGTTCCCTTGCCGGGATTGTATTGTGTATTGTGTTGAAAGTAAAGGGAGCGGGTGGTACGCCTACCACAAGTGATATTAAAATGGGAAAGGGTGGTACGCCTACCACAAATGATATTGAAATGGGAGCGAGTGGTACGCCTACCACAAATGATATTGAAATGGAAGCGAGTGGTACGCCTACCACAAATGATATATTGAAATGGGAGCGAGTGGTACGCCTACCACAAATGATATTGAAATGGGAGCGAGTGGTACGCCTACCACAAATGATATATTGAAATGGGAGCGGGTGGTACGCCTACCACGAGTGATACCGAAATGGGAGCGGGTGGTACGCCTACCACGAGTGACATTGAAATGGGAGCAGGTGGTACGCCTACCACGAGATATTGAGAAATGGGATCGGGTTGCACGCCTGCAACAAGATGAGTTGAATATGAAAGTTGTTTTACCTTTCCATTATTGTTAGAAGTTAAACTGTAGATGTACGTACCATTATTCCTGATATTTTGACTCTATCTGTTACCTTGAAGCATGCTCCCTCCCCCAGCTTAAATTGTTATTTTCTTGCTATTTTTCCCTTGTACTTGTATATAGATATCTGCATAGGTTTATCTGGAGTCTGGTCCTAGCCTCGTCACTACCTCGTCGGGGTTAGGCCAGACACTTACCAGCACATGGGGTCGGTTGTGCTGATGCTACACTCTGTGCTATTTGCACAGGTCCAGGTTTCGAGCAGCAGCAACATTAGTACGGGAGTAGGCCTTCAGTCCGGTGAGACCCGAGGTAGCCTTGCATGCGTCCGCAAGCCCGGCATCTCCCTTTTTCTCTCTTTTTAGCCTGTTGCCTCATTGTATTCGAGACAAACAGCTTATGTTTTCTTTCAGACGTTTGTGTTTAGTATTCCTTAGCAGTTCGTGAGTATTGTGACACCAGTCTTGGGTAGAGGATTATATTGACTATTCCGCATGTTGATTCAGTTTCTATAATTAAGACTTCCGCTACTATTTAATTTTATTATTTTTATATTGTTGCCATGAATTGTTAAAAGGGATTATGTTGTAAACGGAAAGTAATTAATAATTTGGCTTGCATAGCTTCTACGAGTAGGCGCCATCACGACTCCCGAGGGTGGGAAATCCGGGTCGTGACAACATGTCTAATAACTGACGAAGAAAAGCTACTAGTACAGCTGTATAGCGGCTTAGTAGGGATTTGTACTGTCCTTTGCAGGCTTTGTCAGTCCTCATTACGTGTCTTCAGGAGCCTTCCGCCCTTTCATGACGATCATCGATCGTACTGCTCCGAGATCGACCATAATGAGCCTTCGATGTGCTCCCTCGAGGGATGCACCTCGGTGTTGCACCTCATGCCCTACTTTGGGCTTCTTCGAGGTTAGGCGTGGAGCGGCATAGTAGCCCCAAAGTCGAACACCCCAATTTTGGCCGTATACAAAATTTAATTGTTATTCAATTTTAAGGGTAAACATGTTTCGTATCCTTTTCTACCTCCCTTCTTCATTCCAATCGTGTAATACGCAAAAACTAAAGTATTATTCTTCATTTCCATTGCAACTCAACTTGTAATTAAGGAGGTTCTACGAAAAATTAAATCTGAATTAAGATTTATTTTCAATCGCAAAAGTAGAATATCAAGTTTTAATATACTTAGAGTCCAAGTGTATGTGAAACACAGCTGTCTATATGAGATTCATTGCAGGAGAAATAAAATTGGGCATTCATTTATCCAAGACCTCTCAATGAACATTTCACCTGACATAAATGAAATTGCAATAATCCATTCTAACTATACCGAGCGATAAGTAGTAGTTAGTTTAGAAGTTAGGAATTATTGAAGCATTGAATGTATTTTATGAAAACATTTTCATATTTCCTTTGTTATTATGTTTCTAATAAAACACATATGTAAAATAAAATAATAGGGGATGATGGGCAACCAATATCGAATCACTTTTATAAGAAAAAAAGTAGTACCTAGTTAAATTAAATTAGTTAACTAAGGTTCAAAAAACATCCAATGTGATTTTAAGTAAACGAGGTAGAGATGAAGAAAACCAAGTAGTAAACAGACTATCTAGATTTGCTACACTATTTATCCAAATGATGCAGTCAAGTTGCAGGTCTTCAAGGCATCTCACTTAACATAACAACAACTAACTTTCTCGTAAGAAAATAAACTCATGACTTTTGGAGAATACCAAAAACCAGAAAACGAAAAAAAAAAAAAAAAAAAAAGATAAACTCACTTGGTTAGCTGTAAATTATTAATCAAAAGTTAATTAAAAGCAAGGCAGGCGCAGTAGCCAGTACGCAGCTCAGTGGATGCTTCCGAGAAACATCCTACCTCTCTATTTAACAGATGCAAATCAAATACTATTTTAAGTTACTAAATTGTTACAACGGTAAATAGCATGTAATTTATAAACATATAATAAAATCAAAGATAAGATAAAAACGAATATTATGACCGCCATGAATTGATCCCAAAAACCTATTCCCGCTTTTCAGTTTGGGCTTTGGACCCCAACCTATCACAAAAAATAATTTGAAGTCACATCGGGCTTAGGCTTTTATCTTTGACCAAACGCCACGCGGCGACTCCCCATTTGTTGGAAAGAGTGGACCCACTGTACTAATGTTTTCTATTTATGTGCTCCCCCTTCTCATATAATGCCACTGGGGTACAGTCTCCTGCTGCTTACTGCTACACTAAACAATGGAGCGCCACATACAATGCTTACTACTATAATGCTAAGCTTTTTTTAGCTAGTCTTTTTGCACTATTCACAAGGCATCCTTCAAACCCTAGCTATACCCCCCTCTTTTCTCTCTCTTGTCTCTTTTCTCTCTCTTGTCTTCATTTGTACAAGTATAATTTTTGGGGTTCTTCACTTCAATATATTCTGTAGACGTTACGTTTCTTCTCTCTCTTTCTAGAAAAAACTTGCATGTACGCCAAAAATGGCTTCAGCTTGCGTAAATAAAATGGGTATGTCGCCGGAGAAGTTTCTAGATTGTTCTCCGGCTGCGAAATATCACCAGTCCTTTGGTTGGCTAAGTCCAAGAATGTCATTCAGTAGGGACTTTCAGGACGATGCTGCCGGCGACTCTTCCAAGGTTGCTGCCGGAGCAAAGCACACTTCTTCTTCTTCACCACATATTGAGAAGAAGAGTAGTGTTAAGGATAAGGCAGAGGAATTAGATCCAGAAGTTTCCAAAGATATGGTAGCTGATTTCGAGTTTCGACTTGAAGATCCGGTGACTATGTTGCCAGCCGACGAGCTCTTCTCCGACGGAAAGCTCGTGCCGCTGCATCTCTCCATGGTCCGCCCGACCACCACCACTATTTCCGCCGGAGTTAGATCGCCGGATACACCACAGCTTCGAATGAGAAATGAGATTTTGATTTCGAATGCAGATCCGTACTTGTTCTCTCCTAAGGCGCCGAGGTGTACTACACGGTGGAGGGAGCTTTTAGGCTTGAAGAAACAGCAGCAGCATCAAAACAACAACGCTAAGCAAGAAACACAGAGAACGTCTTCATTACCTAGCAGTACTAGTGCTCATAAATCCTTGAAAAATTATTTTCATCGCAGCTCTAAATCCTTGAGCGCTTCTTTAGACTCGTCTCTTAACCATCCGTTGTTGCAGAAAGACTCCGATAACGAGTCCGTTTCAATTTCTTCTCGATTATCACTTTCGTCCTCCTCTTCAGGCCATGACCACGATGATCTTCCTAGGCTTTCCCTCGATTCGGATAAACCAAGCAATTTCTCTGGAAATGCAATGACTAATCCTCGCAGGGTACGATTGGTGAAGCATAGGGTATCATCGTCTGAAGCCGCGAGAGTGGGCCGAAGTCCAGTTCGTAGACAACCGGCCGCAGACTCTAGTAGTACTGTTACAACTCATGCCCGAGGAGTCTCTGTTGATAGTCCTCGCATGAACTCGTCGGGGAAGATTGTATTCCACAGCCTAGAGAGAAGCTCAAGCAGTCCCAGCACCTTTAATGGTGGGCCTAGGTATAAGCACAGAGGAATGGAGAGATCTTATTCAGCTAATGTCCGTGTTACCCCTGTTCTCAATGTTCCAGTTTGTTCCTTAAGAGGTTCTTCAAAATTTGGATTTCCTTTGTTTTCTTCTTCATCCTCATCATCCCAACAGAAGAAAGAAGGCACAGGTTCTAATTCCTATAACACCAGGTCAAGAACAGATCGCATTAAGGAATGAGAGTTTTAGGCTTAGAAAAGTCGGTAATCCTCGCCCCTTTTTTCCGTTAGATTTTTGAGGGTTGTGTTATGGGTATTTTCTTGATTTTTCTGATTCGACAGGCTTAGAAAATTATGTAAATATGCTCTTTCTTCCTTTTTGTTTTTGCTAACTCTGATGGTGAAAGCTACTAATGTTTTTGAATTATTCAACTTTTTGTGGGCATTGAATCTTTATTAGTACTTTCATATGGTTTTTATATCTTCTTGTACCTGAAAGCTATGGAATCTCTCTGATACTTTTTAAGCTTTTCAAAAAGTTCTTCCCTTGTTGAATAATGACATGATGTTTGCTAGTGTGTTTGAAAGCCACGCGCCTTATGTGGCTGTGGGTGATGCTTTTAAGAGCTGTAGCATTTTTCAGGGCACAAGGAAGGAGTTAACGTGACATGCATTGGCATCTTTCTCTGCCCCTTTCCATATGCTTTACTGGAAATAAAAATAGTGATATTCATTTTTTTCCTTACTACTTCAATTATTGCTTTTATTTTTTACTTTAATTGGCGAAATGTGGGAAATGGCGACAAGTTTTTGAATACACACTGAGGAACTGCCAGGCCAGGCCAGCTTTGCTTATCAATCTGCTTTTTGCACGACAGTCTGATTTCTACTACACCTTAAGAGCTTCTATGGATGTGAATATCTTTGATTTTTTCTATTTTTCAACTGTTTTATTAAGCAGAGCAAAATATTTTAGGTGTGTGAAAAACACAATTATTATAACGGAAAATAACAACAGCCCAAGCTTTTCAAAATTATTTGGTTTTAATTTTATAGACTTCTTGTTTAAAGAAGTTCTACAGGTCAGGTGGCTAACAAGCAAACAACATGTAACCTGAAAACAAAGTACTAATTTATTATAATTTGTTAGTAAATCATTGTGTAAAAAAAAACATATTGAATTCCTCATGAAAACTTTTCAAAACTACTCCCTCTGGTTTAGTTTATGTCAACCTCTTCTACTTTATGTAAACCTATTTCCTTTTTGATCTGTTCAAAAAAGAATGACCCCTTTCTAAATTTGGTAACAATTTAGCTTAAACTTACAATTTTACCCTTAATGAGAAGCTTTTATAACCAAACAAATACTCCGGGTCTCTTTTTGACTTGTTTAGGATCACAAATTCCAAAAGTTCACTTTTTCTTAAACTCCGTGCCCAGTCAAACAGGTTCACATAAATTGAAACAGTAGGATCTTAAAAGGGTATTTACCATATTTTACATCTATAAATCCTCTTTTATCGTATGCAGTTGTATATTACTTTAATGTTTATTTGTTGGAATGAAAGGGGAAATTATTAATTTCATCAATAAATCTTTAAATAGCGGTGAGCGTACGTTGCTAATTATCTGTTGTTATTAATGAAGATATCCACAAAAAATCCTTTTGTTGTGGTTGAATTGAGAAGGATCCTTTTGAGTATTGAGAGAAGTTTGTTTCATTAAATAAGATGGAGTTTGTAAAAGCTTGAATGATTGAAGGTAGCATGTGGAAACTGGCATATACAGTCCATTTAATTGAATGATAAGACCATGTTAAACACTTTAAATATCTGAGTACTTTCAAGTCTGAAATAAATGTTGTTGGAGAATCCATTTCTATATAACTGTGTTGTCAGGAAATAAGTTAACACCTTTGTCTACTCAACAGCCAATTGCTCTCTCATCTCTATTCTCTATGCTAACTAAAAACAAATTTGAGAGTTTCAAACATCTTTTGCATTTAAATAAAATCAACCTAACAATTTTTCAAGAAACTAATTAATCCTTTTGATTGTGTCTAGTTTGATTTTTCTACACTGACGAAATAAAAAATATACACACAATCATGTTATTTTCTTGGTAACGTAGACTGGTAACTTGATAAATAGTGGTAATTAACTTGTGTTATACTACACTGATAACTAACCTAAAGTATAAGCCTCGAGAGCCCTGCTCAATTCGGGGGTAAAATTTTACCTGCATCCAGTATATACATCAAACCAGTAAACATAACATGGTTACACTTATGTATTGGTGTCGCGGCTTTGAATAGCTTTGGAAAATTGCTTCATGCCCATGGATCCCAATTCAGTATGTTGGAAAAATCATGACTGCGGAAGCGATTGCCATAAGAAAGGCACTTGAATGTGCTGTTACTCTTGGATGGAAAAGTGTGAAGATTTTATCTGATGCTAAGAATGTCGTTGATATGATCCAAAAACAGGTGGCTACTTCATGGGAGATAGAAGTGTTGTGTGAAGACATTTGGAAGCTATCAAGCATGTTTGATCATGTCGAGTTTCTTTATATTCCAAGGAAGTTAAACAAAGTAGCTCATAGTTTAGCTAAATTTTCTATTTCTTTGTTCTAGATCTACAAGTGGAGACAGTAAAAAAAGAGGTCCATGCATGTATGAATTTTTGTAGGAAAGAAAGGTGTGTAAATCAGATAAAGATAACACTTGTTTCAGTTGTCGTTGTCTGCGATTCATGTCCCATGTCCCTATTCTTGTTTGGCTCAAAAGTTAATGATATACTTTGTAAGCTAAAAAATAATCAAAAGTAGGAAAAGGGGTAAATCGTAATCAAATATAATAATCCTAGAGATGCGAAAATGATAATATCGTTGTAGATCTAGTATTGCAAAGTGATAATATGAACTCAATAAGATATGTTCGTTTGAAGTAGAGATAGAGAGAGAAAGCTAGAAAAATGAGAGAGTTGTATTATATCGATGCCCCCTTTTACAATGCGAGGGTCTCCTTTATATAATAAGAGACCCCCCTCGAAAGAATCAAAAAGTTACAAAGACAGGTAACGTCTCCCTAGTGAAGACACTGAGTCCTAAACGATGTCGCTTTTGTCCCCACGGCCGAGTCATACCCGCTACGTTAGTTGGCGTACACTCGCTGGGCGTACCCACTGGCGTAGAGATGCTGAGGGTCAAATTTGACCCTATACAGTTAGTCCCTCCGCTCGTTGGAGACGCATTCGGTGGGCGTCTTCGATGGGCGGAAATGTGAACCTCGGCTTAGGAGAATTTGACCTCGTCTCGGGACGGAAATATGAATGAAGTGAAATATATGACGTTGTTAAGCCACTGACGCGCGGCTTCCTTTTTGGAATGACGTCATCGCCTGTATGCATCATTATTATATTTGCCTTCGAGGCGGTTCGGAGGATGATGTGACATTTTGGTTTCCGGCGCACGTTTTGAATCATGACTCTTCGATTGCTGCGCAACTTTATCCCTATAAGTAGGAGAGAGGTTCGATTTGATTCCACTTTCAAGCCTTCGGAAAGGATTTTCTGATATACTCCTTTGCCTTTCTTTCCTGTAACCGTTATTTCGTGAGGGACTCTCCCACTTCTGTTGAAACCACACTTCCTCTCGTCAGTGCTTCGTTTCTTACGCAGTACAATCATGACAAAACGTGGACAGAGTAGTAAAAAGGCCAAAGATAATGTCCCGTCTAGGATTCCGCCGTCTTCCCGCGGTGAAGGGGAAAAGGCGGAGAAGGCCCTTGTTCCTCTCAGCGTAGACAACGTCCTTCCGAAGGAGATGCATGTCCGCAGGGATTTTCCAACTAAAAGCCCAGACCTTCCCTGGGAGCACAGCATTTTATTACAATCCCATTTAGATGATCTGCGAGAGACGCACTATACCGGACCACGTGGAAATGGTTCCGGCCGGGACGGACTATGCCAATGTGCACCGGCCTGGATATTGCACATTCTATGAGTACCCGTTCTTGATCGGTTACAATCTTCCAGTCTATCCTCTGATGGAGGAGCTATGCCGTTTTTATAATGTGTGTCCGGCCCAGCTCACTCCTTACACCTTGAAGGTGTGCCGTATTATGACCACTTATGCGGCCAGGGCTGAGTGCAGCGTCTCGGTCCACCACCTCTTACAGTTATTCAGCCCTGGTTACCTGAGGGGTACCATGCTGCAGTTAAAAGGTCGTGGCACAAGGGGCTTGGTTGTTAAAGCCGATGATAAGCCCAACCGCCGCTTTTGGCGTAAATATTTCTACCTCAGGACGGAGCACCTGGTTTCGAATCCCGAAGGGTTCCCGGAAAGATGGAATCCAGAACGTAAGTATTTCTACTCGTAGAATTCAGGACTGCTTGCGCTTTTGACCATACGCCCATTGTAATTTCTTTGCTTTTCTCCCCCCTTTTTTTTATTCGCAGCGAGGGCTTCTCCACCCCAGTTCATTGATGACATTAAATCATAGGTGGAAAGAATAATACCTTATGCGGAGGAATGCCGTACCTGAGCTGCATTTCTTCAACAGTACGGCCCGTCAGGTAATTCTTTGGCTACGATTTGGGAATTCCCTACGTTCTCGTTCCCTGACTTATTCGTGTTGGCAGGTCGGAGCGCTCCTAAGAAGAAGAAAAATAACGTCGTCACCTTACCTGGGGCGGGGACTGATTCCGAAGACGGATACATACCCTGTGGTTCGCCCAGTGAGGGCGCTGCGGAGGTTCCTCAACCGCTGCCCGTGGTGGCGTCCATGAGGGGAGCGACTCCTTCAATGCCATCCCCACGGGCTGTGGAGGAGACTTCTGAGAGCGAGGAGCCGCCAGAAAGGAAAAGACGTCGGTTGATAACCGGCAAGGGGATAGCCTCAGGAGACGAGGGGGCGAGCGAGCCCCATCGGGAGTCGAGGCTAGTTTTTATGGAAGATGCCATCCGTTCCGGGAGGTCGGCTCCCCAAGGGGGGGCGGTTCTCGACGCCAGCCCACGACGCATTCCGGAGAGCGGCTCGTCGGCTGCCGTTGGAGAAGCGGGTGATGATACCGAGAGGGTGGGCCCTGAGGCCGCCCAGGCAGATACATATGCGTTAACGCGGAGTCCGGCCCGTGTGGAGATGTCGGCAGGTAGATCCAACCGCCGAATTCTGATCCCAGGAGGGTATAACCTGTTGCAACACAGCGAGCAGGCCGCAACGGATATGACCCTGCTATGTGCGGCCGCTGAGCGTGAAACGTTACAAGGGGTTAGCGACGGGGAACTATCCCGGAGGGTTGCCGGCGCGGCCTTGCAGGTATTTTTCGATTTTCTTCATGTACCGTAAAGTAAACTTTGATGCATACTGACTTGCCTTTCCTCCTTTTCCTTTTTTTTAGACTCTCATATTGGAGATAGAGAGGGGGAGGCGAGCGCAAAGGAAGGCAGCCACCTTTAACAAGGTGGTAAAGAAATAT